CTCTCCCCCCACCATTAAAGTAGCAGGCACTGCCCACCGGGATGGGGGCTCACCTCCTCCCAGCTGTGTCCCCTTGCTCACTGGCATTGCCCAGGACCAGGGGCTCCCACACTGCGTTCCCACGCCAGGAGCCAGCTCTCCATCAGCGAGTTCAGCCTCTGCCCTGGCCAACCTGCAGGCTACACATGAGCTGCTTGGGCTGCAGTGGCTCAAGTTCCCATTTTCCTGCAGCTCTGGCCACTAGATCAGGTTTATTTGCTTTAACAAATGAAAAGGGATGGGGCTGGTGCAGCCCCACAGTGTCAGCACAGGCTCTCACAGAGCACCTGGTGGGTTGGGGGCTGCAGGCTTGGCCCCAGGCCCTGAGCATCCCCCTCCCCAGAGCACAGAAATGAAGTCCAGCTTGAGAGGGGACACTTACACTTGGCTGCTGACCTGGATGGTGGCCTGGTGAGAGTGTGGCAGGGCTGATCTGCAGCTCCACCTGTGATGAAGTGTTCCTGACCTCAGAGCAGCTGGAGGCATGGGGACCTGGTCTGCAGAGCTGTTCCTCAGCTCCTTCCCTCCTGCCCAGCACACCAGGAGCCAGGAGGATGTCCCAGTGCCTCGGGTGATGCTGTCCTCTACCCGGAGGTCTGGCACAGTGATAGTGCTCTGATGGTATCTGGTTCCAGCTGGGGAAGGCAGTGTGTCCCCCGGGGGCCTCTGCATAGCAGACTTGGGTTCCCAGATAAAAATAGAAGCTGAAACATGAGCCCAGCTTCCCTGGTTCTGCCTTTGCCTGCACATCCTCACCCCACTCAGCTGCAGTGCTGGCCTGGGGAAGCAGCCCAGGGCAGGCCCCCAGCTCCCCAGGGAAGGCTAGAGGAGAGGGCAGTATGCTCGGGGACCAGATGGCCGTGGAGGGGCAGAACTGGGCAGCCACCTGGCCAGGGTGGCCCTGGCCATTTGCTCAGGGCTGAAAACTGCTCTGGGGAAAAGCAGAGAGCTGAGGATACAACTTGCAGGCAGGTACAGCTCTGAGGGCTCAGCACCAGGCAGGGGGAACAAGCCCCTGATGTACATTACACAGCTGGTCCTAGGATATCAGCCAGAGGGAGGACAGCTGCCTGGGGAAGCCAGAAGGAGCTGGAATAAGGGTGGCTGTTGCTTAACACACAGTAAAGATACTTTCCTAAAGCTCGTCCAGCCCCAGGAGCAGAGAACACAGCCCCAGCTGGGCTGCGTGTGCCGGGGAAGGTGCAGCAGGGATCGTGGGCTGCCCTGGGGATGCCTGGGCCCGGCTCAGGCAGGAGCCCAGCCCACAGCACAGGAGCCCTCGGGGCAGGACGAGCAGTGCTGGCACCCGAGTGTCAATGACCTGAGCATGGCGAGCCTCTGAACAGAGAATGGCTTCGCCCATTTGCAGTTTCCAGGGCTCTGACTCTCAAGGGCAGAAAATGTATCTGAATGACCTCTTCCATTTCTGGTGCCAAAACATGTTGCTCCTGAAGGTCTGGGGTTGCTTGGTAGCCAGATTTCCACCTGCATTTTAGTTTTGGAATATGAGCTGGCAGGATGTGGACTCTCGCTCTGTTTCCAGTGCTGGGCAGTTCCAGAGCTTGATTTGGGTTTTTTTCCCAGCCCTGGTGTTCATCAGCTTCTGGACTCCTCTGACCAAGAGCAGAGCACTCACCTCCAGTTGGATAAAACTCAGTAGCTTGATAAAGAGGAGCAGCAATGAGCTGAATTGCAAGGAGCTGGGTAAATTAACCCTTCTCCTGCTGTGGCACAGGCTCTGGAGCAGACTGGAGCAGGAGGTGGGCGTCCTGGAGCTGCATGACACAGGAGGGGCTAACCTTCACCCCAGGATTGGATATAAAGTACATTTAGAAGGCAGGAAGGTGCTGGTGTAGGCTGGAGGAGCGGAGGCACCGCAGTCAGGAGGGTGGGAAGGGACAGCTCCAACCCCGGCCCAGCAGCTCCTGGCACAGAACTCACCCTAAAGCCAAGTCTTCAGGGATGCTGCGTAACCTCATTAGGAGGCAGTTATTGCTGGTTTGCTTTGCTATTCAACTTGCCCTGAGCCTGTCCCAGAGCAGCACCCATGTGCTGGGAGCTGTATAAACAGGGCTCACGGCCACAGTGAAGGTTGGGTCAAGGGTGCTGTGGCAGCTTCAGCTCTTTGGGGCACCCAGCCCAGCTGAGAGGGAAGATGAGCAAGTGAGTCTTGAGGTAGCTGAGAGGCAACTGGAGGGATCCGAGGGGGGATGTGTGCAGCGTGAGGCGGGTTGAGCATGATTTTTTTTTCCTCTGGGAAATTCAGCTTTGCATGTGGGTTTAGGTGTAGTGTGGGGTGAGATTCTCATCACTGCAAAGGCCTTGAGGTACTGAAAAGGGCTTTGGTTGTCACCCTCGCAGTGACGGCAGGGGATGGGGTTTGTGGTTGGGGACCGGCAGTGTCTGTGCTCGAGGGAGCGTGAGTGCAGCGGGGAGAGCCGAGCAGAGGCTGCCCCGCCTGCTCGCATCCCTGCCGCATGGCGAGCCCGCTGCACAGCCTCCACGCCTTGTCCAGGATGTGCCTGTGCTCC